CAAGTAATTGTTGTTGTCGTATTTGAGATACATGTAGTTAAGTTGTAGGGGGTCAAAGGTTTGAATGCAATGCAATCACAAAATTCACAAATATATTTATCAACAATACATGTTTGATCAAAATTAAAGCTGGCAACACAAGAAAATCATGGTTAAATTTACAACACAATTTTTAATATTTTGATCATCAAATAACATGCGATATCATCAGCTGTTGATACAAGGAAGTATGGATGAAATTTAAAACAGATTTCTGAATCCATGTGTTCCAATAATCACAATTTGATGACATGCAAAACCATTAAGTCTGGTTATTATCATTATGTTCCACATTTCAGACAATATATCCTTATAAAAATACATCTGGATACACATAGTCAAACTTTTTAAATATTTACACATGTACAAATTTTCAATATATTCCATGATATCATTCAAATGCTGGGGTACAGATGGTTCAAAATTTATATGCACTTTCTTGTGGTAATGTATTTTTAATATAATACTACAATGACTCCTGTAATTGTGTAACAGTCAAAATTACTGAATACTAAAACTATAAACTATGCTGTCATTCTGTGGCAATCATTTGGATTTTTTTTACAAATATGAGTTGAAGTTTCATGTACTATGATGTAAAATGTTTCTTTTGATGATGATTTCCATTGATTATAACAAAACCACACTCTAAATCTGCTGTTGTAGCTTCAAATTAAGTGATTGAAACTCTAGTACTCATGAACGTTTGAAGTCAATGAAATGAAAGCTATTACAGTGATACAGCTTTAGGGTGGCAAGAAAAGATTTTTTCTAACAAAAACACTGGCTTTGAACAGTTTTTTTTTCTGTGAAGTATTGATAATTGCATCAGAATGACAGGCTTTTCATGTTTTTCTTTTCTATTTTATACTATAGATGTCTGAATAGAGCTGCAGCCAGTAGTGTGAGAAATAACACTTGTAATGAAGGGGGAAACTGTGAAGAACTGCCAACATCATATGGCGTTATTGTGGCAAAGATGGCGGTTGTGTGGTTGGTTGGCACCTCTGGATTGCAGATGTTTCCTTCACAACAGGCTATGCACACCTGGATAGAAATATGCAAATTTGAATATAGCATCATCATGAAAGTACATCTGTGTAGGTGATTGACATTCTAGACAGTCTGAACTGTGTTCCATAACAACCTCCTGATTCCTGGCCAGTTGCTAAGGTCCTGATTTGGATTGATTTGGTTTGGTTTGGTTGGTTGGGATCTCCATTAGTGTGCCAGTTCACGCTATTCTACCTGGAGTCCTGGTCATGATGTAAATCACCGTGTGGCTAATAAAAGACGGGGGTTCGCCAGGCCTCCATCCGGCTGATTTGACGTGAACCACCAGCGTCCAGTCAGTAGTATTTGTCCTCATTCGATTGATTGATTGATTGATTGATTGATTGGTCATTCGATTCTGAAGAATGATAATGCTGCATTGGACACGGCTCCAATAAAATCACTTGAATGGAAGGCATTTCAGCACCTATTAGATATCTCTTGTAAAGTGAAGTGAACTAGAGAAGTAACATTTGCAAAGCAAATGCATAATGTTTACCTTTGGACATGGTCTGCCCTGTTAATTTTTACTCAAACATATTCACATACATGTACTACTAGTATACGGTGACAGGAGCAGAGCAGACCATGAAGTTTGCAACATTATGTAACCCAACACCAGTCACCATGGTGACAGACGTCAACAAATCATGTCATTGGCCAGGTCAGAGGTTAGTGTTTGGAGAAGAAGAGGAAGAGGAAATTGAGTAAAAACAATATGATATACATTTGTAATATCATTAACGTTAGCATCAATATTACCAGTAAGCTCGGGCCCTTCTTCAATTGAAGGCATTTCAGCACCAAGGAGGCATCATTTACATGTAGGCATCAGTTTTGTTCAGGAAGTGAAGTGAAATACATGTATGACATCATATCACTAGCATTGATGTTAACCTTGGTCACTTCTTCAATGGAAAGCATTTCAGCACCAAGGAGGCATCATTTAGACCTCAAGTTGTTAACAAAGTGAATTGAAGTACCATACTATGTCACAACACAGAACTTTGATGATGCAAACTTCTACGGAAGGCATCTCAGCACCATAGAAGTTGAAGAAGTTTCTTTCAGAGATGTGAAATAATTCTGTGTTTTTTAGTGAAGTGAAATGCATGTCATGTCACTAGCACTGTTGTTGAGTTTGGTCCAATCCTTCAATGGAAGGCATTTCAGCACCACAGAGGAGTATTCTGTGACAATTTCTTTCTGAATTGAAATAACCTGATGTTTTCACTATTTGAGATGGAGTTTTAACTTTATTTCTAGTGACGTCGATGAAGGTTCAGTCATGAAAAGTAGTGGATGCTACTTGAAACGTTCAAATCCATCTAGTTGCTTGAGTAACGGAAGTTTTCTTGCATATTTTTAGCGACCTTATCAACCAGCAGAAGTACAAGGTACAGGTATACATCTGAATTGTGTTGGATTTTAACAGACTTGTGATTCTACACCATATTCTATATACCTAACTACAGCTGCTGTGTACATCTTATTACAAAACAGTACAAATATACTGTACATATGAAGATATTGGAATTTTCTTATACACAACCAGGTACTCTTCCTACCCAATATCCTATGTTCTACCAACCTGATGAACTTATTTTCTGATGTAACATCCGTGTCCATAATATCACCAGGGTCCATAATATCGCCACCTTCAGAAATAGTGTGCTTTAAGATATTTTTACTGCAACATACTTTTGGTATGCACTCCTGCACACCTCAAATGTACATACCTAGGGTGCTTAAAAATATCTTAAAGCACACTTTTTCTCAAGGTGGCGATATTATGGACTATGGTCAGGGGTCGAAATAACCCTCTGTGTGCAACTTAGTGCAAGTAAATTTGGTGTCGTGCAACTATTTTTTCGCCGATATGCACGGCGGTGCAAGTTTGCATTATCCGTTTGCATGTAGAAATGTCCAATATTAAAAAGAACTGGAAAGGGAACAAGGAGCCTGCCAAGAAAATGAAAATCCAGCCTTAAAATAAAAGAAATTTACCTTACATGTAGTTTGTCATTTTGCAACAATATTTTCCCATATTAAAATATTTTCGGTACCGATAGTCATAATATTGGATGCTATTAAAGTTACTACATGTACTATTATTTTTGGGGGGTGCAACTATTTTTCTTCTGGTGCAACTATTTTTTTTTTCATCTGCACCAGTGCAAGTTGGCCCCAAAATCTATTTCGACCCCTGATGGTGATATTATGGACACAGATGTTACATGTGACTGTTGGCACTTTGTACATACAATGTACATGTATATACATAAACATAAGAAAGACAAAATACTGTAGTTGACTCACCATGGATCCATCTGTGTTTATTGTACAGCCCACAGTGTTTGGGGTACAGTCCTCCACAGCTGCACACTTTTTCCTCACCATGACACTGCTGCCCTGACCGTTCATCCTGTGTAACGTATGGCAGTACTTGGTACCTGGTGGAAACAAACAAGATGGTAGGTCAGTCTCCTCATCTTCTTAGTTAAATGTGTGAGAGTGCAGATTTCTGCATTATGTTGTGGGAAAAATAAGGGGTGTGGTGGTAAATATGTTTATTGCCATCATGAAAGTTCATCTGTGTTTGTTGGTAGTAACATCCCACTTACTCACTCACTCACTTAGGTACTCACTCACTCACTCACTCACTCACTCACTCACTCACTCACTCACTCACTCACTCACTTGGGTACTCACTCATTCACTCACTTGGGTACTCATTCACTCACTTGGGTACTCATTCACTCACTTGGGTACTCACTCACTCACTCACTCACTTGGGTACTCACTCACTCACTCACTCACTCACTCACTCACTCACTCACTCACTCACTTGGGTACTCACTCACTCACTCACTCATTCACTCACTCATTCACTCAACAAAGATGTCAGATCCCTTAGTGCACTTTCTCCTGAGATAAAAAGTATTCACTATGTTATTACTGTGTAATCCCGTCCAAGCTCATGTATTAAGCTGTTTCTCCACAAGAGGAAGAAATGCTCCCCTTTGTTTACAATTCACGGCTAAGGACAGACCTCCTCAAGGATGGCTGTGATACCAGACTTTAAAAAAGCAGTCTGGGGAAGAAGGAAGGTGGTGGTTATGATGACAATAATCTCTTATTTGTAATTTTAACCCACACAGAAAAAACATGGGCACTTTTTTTTCACCCAAAAATAGTTTCATACAGTTGTAAAGTATAGGAGACAGGAGTTTTCTCCTCAGAGCTTCTGAGGAAGGTGTCTGACACCGAAACGTAAGAAAGGTTAGTCTAACTTGACCGGAAAAAGAAAACTCATGTATCCTACATTTTTTTCACATTTCAATATCTGCATTTTTTAAAGTTTTTTCATCATCGTCAGGCCTATAGTCATATAGCTAAATAATAAGCTATAGGGGAAGTCTGTCTGTCCACAAACGTTTTCTACTTTTGATTACTGTAACTGAATGCTGTTGAGTATTCAGTTGAGTTATAAAACATCATTTCCAGTTTTCATGAGCCATCAATTGTTCAGTTAGATGCTGGAACATCTTAAACTTTCAAATTGCATTACAAAGACGATAAATTACAACTTGGGAATTTGGTACATGAACTTTCCGACCTTTTCTTAGCTCTGAACAAGGTCAAAATTTTCCCAACAGCCCAGTGCTGTAACATTTAAATGAACACGACATTTCCTTAGGCTAGTACTGATACCAGAACACAACAGTGATGCTTTTGAAATCTCAAATGTCCTCAAACCTGCAACTCAAAACAGCACCGCAACCACTTTTTTCCCTCTAAAATTAAACGTTGTTGACAGTTCTTGTACTTTAATTTGTTAAAGGTCGAAAATGCGCCCTTGACACAAGTGTCCAGTGATGGGATGGATATTTCTGCCCTGGGGCAGATGTTTTCATCAAGGCTGTAGACCTGCCGTGTTTCTGGTGTTTTGAGAACAACCTTCTGTTGCCATAACTGAAAAGTGATCCACGAGACATGCTACAATACTTGCTAATTGCTTGTCTCATATGTTGTGGTCTGTGTTGGCAATGCATTGAAACGGATAGAAAAGAAGTGAAATATGGTGATTCTCAAAGATTAAAGCTACAGACGGAAAACATACTTTTTATACAGATTTCGTCTAGTGAAGTCATATGTTATTCATAATGAAGACCTTGGACCAGATCAAGAATCCCATGGCCCATAGCCCCATCCACCAAAATTTAATATAGCTCACAATATAAATGCCGAACAAAATTGCAGAAATACACAAATTTGACCAACCTAGGCCTGCACACATCCTCTTATTATTTGACTAATTTTGAATGACAGCCAGGGTTGTTTCTTTTCCCTACAAAGCTATTTTGTTACCTCGAAATAAATCTGACCATTTATGTAAGTTTACTACCTTGAGGACAGTAGACATCAGGCGCCCATCTGTTGCAGTTGTAGTTGTCTGAAGCTTCTTCACACGTCCAGCACTTCATACTGCCTGGGAAAGGTGTACCTGTTTTGGGTAAAAAACAGTCCTATAAGTCACTTAGTCATACACTTCAAAATGCTGTAGTTTAGCAAGGTTTGATTTTTTTGAAATTTCTGAATTTCTGAATGGTTTATCGTATAGCAAAAACACTATTTTCCACACAGGCAATAGAATTAGCCCATTATCGTGGAAGTTCATCTGTGTGTGTTGGTAGTAATCATAGTACAATGTTAAAGTTTATTCCAACACAAAGTTTGGAAATGATTGACCATTAATTATCCTGATGAAGGCGACGGTGGTCATTGCAAATTTGATCCTGGTACATGTGCTCTTTGTGCTGGAATAAAGTTGAACATTATTGTACTTAGGCCACACCAATTTAATTTGTTGGTTTTCGGATTCGCCTCCTTTTTTTCTGATTTGCAAAAAAAAAAAGATTCTGGTTCTGAATCAACTCAAATATGCTCATATTTTGCCCCCAGCAGTTGAGGAAAGTCTTCTTCTTCCTTGTTGTTACAGTTTTCCATCTATCAATGCAGTGGTTTGATTAAAAGCTCAAAATTCATTGTTTGAATATTAACCCAGCCTTTTGTGTTGACTTCATGGCTCCTATCGTAGCACTTTGGGCTATAATAGGATGCCTGTACCTGTTTTTATTGTTATTTTTTTTCCGCCCTATCGCTTCATATTTTTTCTGAAAAAAATCAGAGAACCAACAAATTAAATTGGTATGGTCGTATTCTGGAAATTGTAGTACATGTAGTAGAATAGCCCATTTGTGTAAGTTACTTTGCTACTAAAGTTAGCCCACTTGTTTCACCTGTCAACATCCTCATCATCTCTTCCAAACAAACCTGTACACATCTTTCGTTAGAGTTGGTTTTGCTTAATTTTGTTATTCTCACAGGTCAGAGGCACTTAATTGTCTACACATTCTTTTCATTACCACCCAAAGCACGGCCAAGTCCTGAGATCTGTCTTTCAACTTGAATGGTAATGACAGGCTCAGCAACTTGGCGTGTTCTCAACATTCCACATGACTTTGACCTCCAGCTGTGTCAGTCACATGCTACTGACCATGCGGCCAACAAACAGTTTTGCTCCGCACAAACAATTTTTTGTAGTAACAGTAATATTTTGACTGTCACCGAGCTTTTCCCGTGGCATTGAATGATCTGGCAGACACTCGGAAATTTCTGGAGGAAACATGATTCCTTGTTTCTGCTTTAGGGGGGCAGGTGGCGACAATCTCTCAACGATTCCCCAAACGTCCATCCGGGTTGTACCATGTGGAACCCACGTAAATATTGTGTGATAAAAAATGGCCATACCTAAATCAGGACCCTCTTAATTCCCACGACAGACTTGTCTACTGGTAAAGACATATATTGTAAACTTGAGGTTACCAAATTGATCCCTTGGGACTTCCTTAAATATGTTGCAGACTTGAATTGTAACAAAAAATTTTTGCTCTCAGGTCCTTTCTTTCTCCACCCTCACCATTTGTATTCCTTTAAATTAGGCGCTGAGACAAAACAGAGACTGAGTGTTAAGGATCGCTTCCCTCCGTTGTGGGTTTAGTTCCAGGGAAGTGGCGATTTGACAGAGTTTTCCTGCTAAGAGCCTAAATCCCTCACAATCTCAGCAAAAAACATTGTCTAGACTGAGGAGTATTTGTTTTTGCATGCAAGGGAGCTGAGCAGGGAAGATCTCTTTGGTTGTCTTTTTGACTTTGGATGGATTTCCATGCATTCTATGTCCCATGCCAGATTCGGAATGTGCAGGATATACAGACTTTGCTACCAAAGTGCCTGGGCTTTTCCAGCCAAAATGGTCAAAAGGCACTTTTCCAGTAGCTGGAGTTCGTTAATTGCTATAATAATTATACTGTTCTGTCAGGAGTGATTGCGGAACTGGCCTGGTCTACACTGTATAATTGCTTGGAGAACAAAGACTAAACATTTAATATTCATTACATTTCAAACAATTCTCATCAACCAACCAACCAACCAACCAACAAACAAACAAACAAACAAACAAACAAACAAACAATTAAGTTCTTGTACTCTACTTGCTTATGCAGTGCTTACAATGTCTAAAGTTAACATTATCTGCAATTTTGCATTTTGCAAATTCAGGCATTATATGAATAAAATTCACAGGTAACAGAAAAAAAGTATTTCAAGCCCTCTTGTTTTGACAGAGCTACAGTACATGCATGTACATTCACAACTTCATAATTAACATTACATAGGCCATTACTCACTTGAGGGGGTATAAGCAGCATCCCATTTTATATCCTGGCCATGAGCCATCTGAAGGACGTGAGAGATCACAGCAAGAAGGAAGGAATAAGAAGTCAGGTCAACACGAATCTCCATGGCATGAAGACTCCAGTAGGAATGTCCCTCCTGACAGTACAGGATCTCTGAACCACGTCTTAAGGTCCAAGATGTTCTTGTAGTCCTTCCGCCTTCAATGTCAGAAGAAAACGCTTCCTCTGGTACTTGAAACACGAGCCACCGCTGGGCATACGTCACATCTTTTCACCTGGAACGAAGAAAGAAGAAAAATGTAATCAATTTGCATAATGTTGTTGGTAAAAACAAGCATCAAATGATAGGACTGACACAAATTTTCGCTGCGCTGCTATATCTGTAAATGAAAATTAAACAGTCAGTCGTTACATCTCATAACAGCAAAGAAAGTAAGAAAGATGTCAGTAATTTTTCCAAAACATTAAATTTCTAACACAAGTTTGATAACAATGTATGAGCTGAATAAAATACCTCAGAACTGTTACACAGAGACCATACACAAATACACGTGTATAACTTATCCCAAACTTAGCGGGAGACCATTTCTGGTGACAGACGTGTTACGTTCTTCCCAACACATCACATTTTTGGACACTCAACACAATCATCAATAGCCAAAGGAAATCAAAGCAAGTGGTCGATTAACTGAACAACATTCAACTGAATGCTGGTCATAACAAGGAATAGGCAGTATATGCAGCATATACCTTCCTCCACACATGGCCACATGCACATTACATCCTCTGGGTCCTCTCAACAGCATGGAGGAGGGAGGGGGGTAGATGATCGTAATCCTTTTGTGCAAAACAGTCCAGTTAACCGTTCCACCCCAACATTAGCTAAACTGCAGGTTGAAAACTAGTCATAGATGAAATAACTGTATCGCCTTTTTCCTAGAAGACTGTGGTGAGAGCAGCTTGGCAGAAACAAGCGGTAAGTGGCCAGAATGGTTGCCTGCTCAGGCCAGACCCTGCTTGACCGCTGCCGACCGTAGCCTGATAGCTGACACAGTCCGAGTCAATCTCTCGTCACCACTGATATCCTCTCCCGGTAGTGGCGACACGAGCGGAGTCAAAGGCCCAGCTGCATTTCCAACATGCCTAGAAAGCCTTTACTGGATCAATGGCTGACTGGCTATAAACATACCTCTACACTCGTCCTGGGACGGAACGATTGAGTGCTTTAGGGGTGGTAAACTGTGTTCTTAGTTAGCTTTGTTTCTTTGGATGTCATTATTGATGAAATTTGTAGCCTGCAGTGGTTGGGTAGACATAATGTCATGTCTAGGGAATTCTTTCCTCTTTTCCTGTGTGTCTATCAAGACGGGCAACTTTGGAACAGCTCAACACTTTAAACTGACACATACCTTAAAAAATCTCTTAAGACAGACTTTCTTCTTTCTTAAGGCTGTTGGTGGTTCACCAGTGTTTTATTGACCTTGAATATGCAATTTTGTGGTCTTTAACATATTGTAAAAAGCAATGTAATTTAAAAAGGTATATTCCTGATTCCTTTTGACTTGAGCACTAAGACTTTATCTTGATGTCTGGTGATTCCAACCACATTTCAAACACTGACTAGTGCTGTGGGGACATTCTCTTAGTCATATCCTACAGACTTCAGGAAGAGGTTTAAAAGGGAAATAATTGTTTGGACCTCCCTGTCCCCAAGTACAAATTTTCTTTAGAAGTGGTTGGACCTTCAGAATACTTCATTTCAATTACGGGATCCCCTTTTCCTATTTTGTCTTCTTGCTAAATGAAATATAAGGCCACACCAATTCAATTTTATGGATGACATCCTCTGAAGACCCCCAAACTAGCGCGCGCGGGCGAAAAAAATAAAAATCCGGCCAAAAATAAAAATGCTACAAAACCACAGGAATACAAACCTGGTATTGTGAATTTGGCGCATTACATAGCGACGTATACGACAGGCCGACACATGCTGGATTTTTGCGGAATATATGAATCGACACTGCTGTACGTATGTACTGAGTTCTTGAGTCTTGGAGCTTCGGTAGCCTGGCTGCCGTCAACCAGAGTTATCACCACCATGCACTACCCAGGCCTAAAGCCAGGCCAGAGCCTCGGAATACGTGATTTTTTTTTTTTTTGAGATCGGGCGAAAATCAATGCGCGCGCGGATGTCATCCATAAAATTAAATCGGTGTGGCCTAACATGCAATGATTTCTTGTGCTCTTTTTCACAATGCTGTACTAGAGAGTTCTATAAAAAGGGTTATGCAGAGGGTTTCTATCATATAGAAACAGTAATAGACAGAGGGAAGTTGCAACATTCCCAAATATACTAATTTATATACTTTTTGCAGAATTGCAATGGAAATTGTCTGCCTCCAGTTTCTGCAAGAGAATTGCTATCAATATTCAAACCAACTGACCACTTTCAAACCATCACATGTAAGTGAGGGAAGGAATGGTCAACAGTGGGAGATAGACTTACACCAGCTGACACAGGGCTGCATCTCAGCTATATATGTATGGGAAAAGGCACAGCAAAGAATTCTTGCCCCTTGTAGCAGCATTCCAAAATGGCAGGGCTCTTGAAATCTTGCCAACTGCTGTATGATGTGGTCTAACGTATAAGAAAAACGTATGAAAATACAATTTGATTTAAGTGAAAATTACATTTTCAATACATTAAGAAAAGAATTTAAAAAAACACTGCCACAGGATTTAATTTGATAACATTAGGGTTAAATTTGAACAATTGGAAAAATAATATTTTTAGTGCTTTTTTGCTATACTATTTTATGTAATGTATGTGATCTGTATTCAGCAAAAATCTGTATTCAGCAAAAATCAAAATATAATTTTGTTTATTTGACATGCCTTTTGTAATATGATTCTAAAATACTAGCTGCGCAATTAAAATGAAAAGACTGCTAACAAGCATCCAGAGACAGTTGAATAAAACAATGATGCCCAGTAGACCTCAATGTTTCCTGTCTTTGAAGGAAAAGCCAGGTCTCTCCAAAGCCATGGAAGTAGTGATGCATACCGGTTCACTGGACTTGGATCCGGACTTGTAAGAATGTTAGGTTCAAGTCCAAAAAAACCTAAAGGTCAAGAACCGAGTCCAGACTTATTACCATAAAAGACCATTTCACATGCCCCTTTTCTTTCCAAACCACCTAAAACAGTCCGTAGATTGTAAAATCTTTGCTGCAAAACGAAGAAAACATTGCCATCGGGAATCTTCAAGTACCGGCTTCCATGTCATGTGGCCAAAGTTTCACCCGGACAACATTGAGGTTGCCAACATGCAATTTTGTATATGCCATGGGTTTAGGTCCGGACTTACAAGTCCAGAACTGAACCAAATCTCTGGACTTGAATCCGGACCTGAACCTAAAATTGGGTTTAGGTATGCAGCACTACATGGAAGGAAGCCCTCCCCTCATTCATTCTCCATCTATTGGTAGATCATTACTTTGTCATTCTAACCTTAGCCCTGGCTGTCATCTGATACATGTATGACAGGTTAAGACAAGGTTTGTTTAAAAAAGATGAGGAGATAGGAGCCTATAGAAACTGCAAGGACCCTCCATTCATTCCAACAATGATATAAAGGTCAGGAAAAGTGGTTAAGGCCACACCAATTCAATTTATTGTTTCTTGGATTTTTTCAGAAAAAATATGAAGCAACAGGGCGAAATAAAAAAAAATTAAAAAAACTGGCCAAGGCAACCCATGTTAGCCAGAAATGTTACAATATGTCATGAAGTGAACATACCAGGCTGGATTATAATTAAAACAATAGATTTTGAACTTTCAATGAAACAAAATTGCATTGTTACATTGAAAAACTTTAAGAACTAGGTGTGGCCTAAGGAACACATTTTTGGATTACATCCAATGTAGATGGAGTTAGAATAGGTCATGAAGAGGCTATGCATAACAAAGGTGATTCCAAGTTCTTTCCTACATGTATCATAGGCAAGCAGATCAAGTTGTGTTTAGAAGTAGACAGTTTGTAAAAAGGTTGTGGCCTTGTCAGATTAGAATCTTTGTCCTTCAGAGAGAAAATGACATCCAAAGAGGACCAGGTGTTCGTAACTTGACATATGCTGACTACAGAACTTTAAACTTTGCTGACTTGAAGAACTTTAAACTGATGGCAACTCACATGGCCCAGCTCCATTTTGTGTGTATACAGAAGAACTGCAAATTCTTTCCATTTTTGAGCGCTGATAATATTTGACAATTCAAAGCTGGTGGATTATTTGGACCACTCCATGTAACAATTTTGGTTGGAAAAACTCAAAAGAGTCATTGTTTTCCACAAGATCACATTTGTTTTAAGTTATTAGAATGGAAAGTTCAAAGAAATTCAGAAAGAGCTTAAGTTAATCTATAAAAGTTAGTTAACAAAGTCATTAGAATGGAAAGTTTCAAGAAATTCAGAAATAGCTTTCCTCTATTCTCATGCACACACATGACTAATAAACTGGTGGATGTCCCAACTACTAAGTACCTAATACCAGCCCAGAAGAGAACAAGAAATAGCCATGCATTCAAGTACCAGAGGATTGAGGTGTTCAACAATTCATTCTTTCCTAGAACTATCGCAGAGTGGAACTCACTGTCACCAAGTACAGTAGGGGCATTGTCAATAGATAGCTTTAAACAATGTCTAGAGATAGAAGTTCAAGGGTTAGGTGTAACAAGTCGATCGGTGTAATATAGCCAGCTGCCGCCGCGCCGCGTGCCTGTGAAGCAGGTGTGTTACGCCGAAAGGCGGTTATACCGGCTATACAGATACAGATACACTCAACAAATGGAATGACCTTAAGAGAAAGGTCTGTCTCAAATATCTTCAACAGTTGTGATTGGGTGATATCAGTGACTTGTCCTGACTAAGTCCTTTGACTGTAGTACATGTGTCTAAGAAATGCGATAAGGGTTTGTCTTAAAGGATGTGATTATTTCCAAGACTCATGTTTGGTCAGGAAAATGTCCAATAGCTCTGTGACAGCAAGCTAATACTTTTTTTGCTCTTGGAGGCCAGAGTGCCAATCCTGGGTGGTCTCTGCAAAGTTTGCATTTTTCTCTCCCAAGTAACTTTCAAACAGAGAAACATGACTTGAAATAAATGACACTGAGATAAGATTAGACTTCTGTTCAAAACTACTACACAGGGGGACACAGGGGAAAATACAGGCCTGTATGTCTTTGGTCACTTTCCCCTGCCCTTGCCATATTTCAAACCCTTAATGTGTGAAAAATACATGCTGAAAGCATAATTACTCCCTTAAGGGTGTTGCAACCTTAAGGAATAATTGCCTCAAAGTACAGGGTAAGTTTCAATTTGTGCAGAAACATAAAAGAAGTGCCTTTCTTCAGTTACGGAGTTGTAAATTATACGAGAGCTTTATTTTCTCAGCTGCTATTTTAACTAGTCTAGACATCTGTCCGATGAAGTGAAAAACAGATTTTTTGTTATTTGAAATGCTTGTTGACGTGAAAACACTGTACTGACAGTTAAAAAGAACCTCTGAGTCAGTGGCTTCAGGCCATAACATTAAGTTCTGCGAACAAGAAATTAGTCTGCCCCTAAGTTAGAACATATATGTAACACATGGAAATTGTCCTAGACCGGAAAGATTATACTGTTTTAGGTTACACAGCCTTGTATCTTCCTTCACACACATCATATATATGCAGGCTTCAACATTGCCTTTTCACTATACATAGTCTACGTAGAGGTGAGACATTACATATGCCCCAATTGCCCTAAGATGACCTCTTAATCCCACATACAAAAGGTAATATACCAGGTACAAAAAGGACAAGTTATCTTAATCCTATGTCTTTAGTGTAATGGAAAATTTAATTTTTTCCTAAAGAGTCACCCTGCGGAGCATTTGACTGTAGTGTACTGAAACACTGTTTCTTCATGTTGTACAACCATGTTTGTAAAATAAAATTGCCCCTGGCTGTGTTGTGGCCCGCAAATACCACAAGACAAGAGGACAAAAATATAATTTCCTTTCTTTCCACAGCCACTTGTGTATGTATCAGCGAGTTGACTTTTCCTGAGCTGTTGCTGTTTCACCTGGCCTTGGACAGAAAAGAGCAGTTAGGACGCGTCACTCAAGTAGTACTTCTGTTTGACGGAAATGTCGCCTGTGTTTCCTGACAAAAGTCAGAAGTGGTGGCGAGCATGTGAGGCCGGTCGATCACTCTGTTTTGGTCCGTCTACTTTTGGATATCTCACAATCTTTTGTAATGAGCATTCTTCCTCCCCTTTTAACATTCAACACAAGATTCTTACTCTAGCCAGTTATCTATTGCATAATGTTTCTATGTCATAAAATGCTAACACACAGTGCAGATTAATCACAAGAAAGAACTTTCCAACTCCACTCATACCTGTTTTTTGTACTGAGCTAGTGTAACAGTGCTTAACCATGCTAAATGGTCGTGCAACCTTTTAGTGTAGTGGTTAGCATTGGTGACCGCCAAGCGGACAACTCGGGTTCGATTCCCGGTTGTGACCTGCTCGCCCCTTTCGGTTTTTACACTAGCATAATACTATGATGTCCTACACAACTGAATACCTAAGATACCTTCTCATATATTCTACCGTGTGTTCAGGTCTTAGTAGACAATATTGCAAAACAACTGCAGCCTATAGCAACAACAAGTGTACCATATTTAAGATGAGACAATAACTAAGATGTAACATTACAAGAGTCTTACAACAACTTACCCTCATAGACTGCAATCGAAAGTATACGTTCAATGCCTTCATAGCTAAGAATGTAATATATGTGGGCTAACCCTCTTATTCGTACCTTATAAATCTTTTCCAGTTTCGCTGTCCTTCAGTAAAGTAGCAGCAGAAATCTAACATATCACTGAGAACAATGTCAGGATCTGTGACTGTGTGTGTAACCAGTTACCACCAGCCAACAGAACTGGTCACACCACTAGTGGTACTGCCAGACCAGAAGCTTTCAACTCCCAGTCTGTCACTCAACCACACTGAGGACCAATCACGTTACAGCCCTTTAATAGTATCAAATAAAGGCTCTCTTTCTTGAGTGAAATGGAATAAGAGATGCAGTTTTACCATTTTTTCTGAGACATGAGGACATTCTTGTGAGATACCCTTGATATCTGATATAGACAGATCATGACATGCACTGATAAACAACTTGCTGGAACGTCCTAAAATGTAGGACAGAAAGTTGTAAAAATTTACCTTGTTACAAAATGGAGGCAATGAATTCCTTGATGCTAACTGGTACCAAAAAAATCTACAAATTGTTAAAGTTATGGGGTTTTATTTCAGTTTGGATTGTAGTGCAGTGTACTAACATACTGGGTGACTCGAAAGCTTATTTCTGTGAGATTTGTAGCTTGTGGCAGCTGGGAGGTATGATCCCAGGTAAACGATGCAGATAAACAATCACCTGGATGACAGACCACCATCATGCTCTCAGCTTCCCTCCTAGTTGATCTTAAATCAAACTCAAGCAAAATTTTAAGGGGCACGTTACTCAATAAGCGCATGCGGGAGATTTGCTATAGCTTAGGGTACAGAGGAAAATTTTCAATATAAAAAGAAATTGATTCTATTGTGAAAATTAGTAGGTGAGCCTCAGAATGTGTATTGTGACATTCAAAGCATGTAAAATTAAACGAGAAAAAAGGCAAAAGTTCTAGAAATGGGGTAAATCGGTCAAGGGAGTAAAAAGGGTCCAGCTGCTACAGTGCTGCTGGCCACATGTACAAGACATAATTCAACACCTGAAGTCTGGAGGTAGAGACATGCCTGTTGCCCACCTGGAGTTGATGTTGCATACAGTTTATCTTTCAACCTTTTAGTCCTGTTGACAGACGTGGAATTCCTGTCTCTGGTTTGTTGCTAAACAATTTTGTCTTTTACAGGCCACAGAATATTCTCAAAAGAAGTTATTTCAATAGCGTTTCGTCAACAAGACAAATACGCATGCAGTATAGCGGTCTGGACATTTTATATAATATGGCAATATGCTTTTGCTGTCTTTGCTAATCTTAGGAGTAGAGAACTTCCTTGGAAAAAAAAGGATATGAAATGGTAACTCAAAGGATAGACAAGTTAGAATCTTTCCCACACTTTTTGGACTATTGGGCAGTGCCCATCTATTATTTTAGCCCTTGGGTCACACAGTTGTTCAAACATTACAGCAGGGGGCCAGTAGTCTACAAGTAAGAGGAAAGGCTCAAAAATGTTTCTCACTGCCCTGTCAAATCAGAGAAGATTGCACTTAGTAATAGAAAAAAAAAGAAGTACGTGATTGAAAAAATGAAATCAAAAGATTTTAAAACATTTTCAAATTGTCACAGATTGCCAACTACTGTATTGTGAGTGTAAGTGCGCAACGCCAAAGCTCTATTTGTGCCTAATCTATATGTACCAAGTAAATCTGGACAGTATCCTTTTTATGAAGTTCTTTGTCTGTGATGTCAGGTGAGGTGATTGATGTGCACAGCAGGTATCAGGGAAATCAGCTGGGCTTTCAGGTGAGTCAGGTCACCTGCTGATCCACATTTTTACAAACTTTCAAAATACTACCATTTATATTACTGTAAATCACTTAATATTGGCACTTTTATATTTGCGGTCACTTCTGTACCACGAATTTATCATTACCGCAAACAAATAACTTTTTCTTCTTCTTCACCTGCCACCAATGCAAATTTAAAGTTTTGCGATCCATTTTCTCAGACTGCGAAATTTGGCTACATACAGCGAATTTAAAGTGATTTAAAGTACTTCTGATGTATATCAAATCAAGGACATTTTGTAAAATGTCCTTGTGTACATGTAGCTTGAGTTATAGGTTGATTGAGTTCTGCATGTCAGAATGATTTTGGTGGTCGCAAGAGTTATTGAGTTATAATTGCGTCATGACATCACTGACAGTTTCTCCTGTTACTCCTCAGTTTTCTCTGCCTCCCAAGTCTGAAATCTGAGCCAATAGTTTACTCCGCAATATCATGGCCCCTGGTTACCAGGAATTCTGTCTCCTTGGTCCACCTGCCAAGCCCTGCGTGGTGCTGTTTATGTTTCCCCTGAAGTTCCTGTTTACCTGCGAAGCACCTCTGGTGTGGTGAGGCAGGCAGGGAAGAAAAATGTACTGCCTGATAGACATACTAAAGGAGCCAAAGCAATATGCTATACTTGGACTTCATGAAGTACCATTAGTTTAATGTTTTGTATAAGCATGGAGTTATTTAACTCCATGGTATAACATGTTACATACAAGACATCATCATATACATTGTACATATTATTAACAAGCACCATTTCCCAAATCTTTGTCATGCTTTGTAGACAAAGTAAAATCTCAGTGTTGTTTTCAAGTAGTTTTGGCATTAAACCTACTACAAATTTAAAAGATTTAGCAAACGTTAGCTTATTGACTGACAATATGAAGATAACTTGCAAAGAGCTGAAATTATTATTTTTTGGCATTACATAGGTTTATAACGGACTAGTCTTTATAATCTTTTTCTTTTTAGATGCTGACTCTTGCCAGATGATGCTGAGTTACAGTGCAGAGCACATGATGGTTACAACTACAAGCTTCACACTATCAAAGATGGCAGAGTGGTCCAGGTGCAGTGTACACTTCTAATAGTTTGTGCTATTCCTAATAAGTGCACATTCCTACTCTAGTAAAAATGTGTGGGTGTTTTTAACGTGCTCAAGGTGTGTGCTGCACTGGACTAACGTGTATGAAGACAGACCGCTTCCAAAAGCCAAAAGAATGGGTCTATAAGAGTAGCATGCATGTCTGAATTTAGAAGTAAAAGTCAAGATTTGACGCTACATGACCCTCTGGTCATTAAGCAAGGTTACTAACTATTAGACTTCTATACATGAACGTGCACCTAAGTTTGGAGCATTGCAGCTCGTGTTCTTGGCTGAAAATCATTATGTTTCGTCTCAAGCATTATGCCTTGAGTCCATCAGCTTTTACTTTAAGAACAATTTGAGAAGATACAACAGAAACTTTCTTTGATGCAGAGCTGAAAAGGCTGGTTTAAAAAGATCATGTCTGGGGGGATGAAACTGATCAACGTTGTCCAATTATCCCGTCAAGGTGGTTTAGGTATAAGCCCCACAGGTATGGACTCAAAGCTGGGACATGACCTTCTTGGGGGCTGCATGCCCTTTTCCGTAGAGCGTAATCGGTAATTTTAATTCTATGTAGAGCATAGACGGACCGCTAGAGTGTAAATGGTGCATTTTGCAAGGAGTGCAATTCACCGTTTTGATTCTACGTAATATGTTGTCATATTTATCATAAAACGTAATGGGGAGGTTTCCTGAATTCAGCATACTATGTAGCCGGTTCTCAAAATTTAGCGTAGAGCGTTGTCAGGACCCCCATGCAGGCCCTCCTCCTTCCATGGAGGGGAAAGTCAGTAACCTTCTTTACTCATATTAGCATTCCTCAAACCAAGGATGTTATATTAGGTTCATTGCTCAAACAAAATTGCTGTTTTGGAATGAAGAGCTTTTTACTGCTATTGAGAATGCTGAACATTTTACTGAGTAAATGTGGTTTTGTAGGATTTAATTTGAAAATCAGACTAGGTTCAGGAGGCATCTTCAGGTTTCCAAGAAGTTGACTTTACTTTGCCAAGGCTCTTAGGATCGGAATAGCATTAAGAGCTGTACTCGACCAGTTCTAATGAGGTCTTCCAAGAAGGGGTGACGTAAACACAGTCAACTACAAAACCTTAGCTCAAAGGGTAAATGTAGACTGGATCAATGTAGGGAGTGTCTCGGCCACACCAGGCTCAAAATACTTTTTTCTACATACTTGTACATGCACCAGTGCAGGTAACATTGAAAATTACTTGCACCAGACAAATTTTACCTGCACAAATCATTGCAATAATTTCTTCATACTTCATAGGTGGTTACAGTCAATGCAGCAAATTAAAATCCACACTCACTCACACACACCTACACATGTACAAATGTATAAAACCAATACATGGACCAGTGCAGGTTAGGTGCAGGTAGACATCAGAAATACCTTCACAGCTCCAATTTTACCTGCACTAACTTGCATATGCATGTGGTATTTTGAGCCCTGGTACATACACCAGACTTATTTGTATCTAAAGTTAGTCAGGACATCGCTATGTATATCCTGGTGGATCTGTGATGCCTCAAGGCTAGGATTTATCTGACTTTACTCAAGAAAAGAATGACGCATCACTGTCAATAGGCGAATCAAGACAAGACGCAAAGAGGAAATGGGACTTATAGACCATGCGTGTGTTTAAAAATCCTATTAGATTTAGACTAATCTGCATAATGTAGTTTATCTATTCCTTATCCCTGAGTGACTAAAGTTGGGAAGACATTATTGGGCAAGAGATTATTGGACAAGAACTTCAAAAAAGTAAGTATAGCCAAGGAGCCTCAAATTGAACTTTCTTGATATAGCTTCATGATGATATTAAAATTTTGATAACCACTGTGTTAGCCAGTAAATATAATTATAAATAAGCTATATTCTACAATGGCCCTCTGTTACATTTTTCTTCCACTCAACAAAGCAAAGTTCAACAAAGAATGCTTCAGAGGTGCACTTTACTGGAGAGGGCACACACTATGTTTGGACACTTCGCTACACTTTCTCTTGTTGACCCTTTGCACTTAGTGTTCTTTCCCTCCAACTATCAAGTGAACCAGAAAAAGTAAATGTATCCTCTCCCCTCAACATATTACCAGTGCATTAGTTTTGCTTGAGTTACCAGTAAGTTCCTGCATATATTTAAAAGTAAAGCAAATATTTAGCATTGAAAAATTCCTCTAAACCAAAAGGAACGACATATCTAAAGAGTTTAAAGCATAAATCACCCATCTCATGCAAGTTCTTACAGGTTAGTGTATTTGACACCTCTCTAAGAAGAGGCTTGGTGTTGAAATAATTGAAGGGGAGGATTTGGGACATTGTTTACATTGTAACCGAGAAGAAAGGGAAAGGTAAACAGAGTTCACAGGTCCTCAGTACACAATAGCGCAAAGTAAACAAGGACTGGTGTTCGGGAGTCTGCCTTGTTGCCACATACAGGGGTGTGTATGACACCTTCGCCCTTGTGTTTTGTCCTTGAAATACCTTGGAAGAAAGAGCGGGATGGATTACAAGAAAGGTATTAAGATATGAGTTTACAAATGGCTTGTCCAGCTCACTGTGCTGTAAATGCAATTGAAAGTTACAAACAGCCCATTCCATCATGTTTCTGTTGTATGCGATAACGTTTGATATTATAAACCATCCCGTCATTTTCAGTCTGTCTCTTTGACCAGGCAAAACTTCTTCCTTAGACCATAACAATTTAACCTGTTCCCCCTCCCCTTCCACATATCTGGTGGAAAATTTTAATAAATGATATAAAATAACTAAGTAAATAAATCTGCTATTTCTCAGTTTTCTTTTGTAATATTATAATGAAAACAAACTGAGGTAAAAACTTACATCTGTTTATTCACTGTAAGTATTGCAATGATACTTTCCCCCATAGTCAGTTTTTATTTTTATATTCGTATCTATATATATTAAAGTGTCATTTTTTTATATCCAAACAACAAAGAAATCAACTTGATGTAGCCTTACATGCAACCTCTGATGACCAAAAGATTTTGTTTTACTTCATCTGATGCTAACTGAAAGACTCTTCTCCCTTCTTTCTACATGAACCAAAAATTGATGTCATCCGTGTATACTGAGACTTCAAACAGGAAAGACATGGAAGCCATACATCACCAGGTAGTTAACTGTTGTGTAGACATCTCACAGACAGTTGAAATAAACAAACTTGACTCAGGGGAGAAGGTAACTATCATTTATCCTAATCATCTCACTGACAGAAAGGATCGGTTATGGCATGTTCACTACTATTGGGTGACATTAGCTTTGAAAAGTTTTGTACTCAAATCACAAATGTGTGTAATTTGGAGTGTAAGGCCACACCAAGTAAATTTTATGGATGACGTCCTTTGGAGACCCTAAATCTAATGCAAGAGGGTGAAAAAAAAACAGGAAGGGCCCTAAAAAACTAGATGCCTAGATTAGAAATATACTAAGAGACGACAAATGTTAGGACACAAATTGAATGAGGTGACACAGTGTAACAAGCAAGAAGTCTTTTATTCATCATCAAAACAGGTGGAACAGCAGTTGTCGTCCTGTCCTGTTTTCTTTCTTTAATCACATCTTCCCTTATCTCACTGTTGTGACTCTTTGGTCATAGTTACAGGAAGCGGAATTTCTTGTGTTTTTTTCTAGGAACAGGCCAAAATCAATGCGCGCGCGGACGTCATCCATAAAATTTACTTGGTGTGGCCTAATGAAAAATGCATACATGTATGTCGACAACTTTTATAATAAATTTTCAACATCCTACTCCAAACAAATATCTTTTCAAGCAATTCAGCTGAGTTGACCCTCGGGACAGTAAGTGAGTGTATTCCCCCCAAAGCAGATATTGAGAGAGAAGAGTAATATATTCACTTGGTATCATCTCCCACATGTCTGCTTTGAGATTGTTACATGTACTACCTTTCCACTCAACACATATAAGGCCACACCAATTTAATTTCTTGGTTAACGGATTCGCCCGCTTCATTTTTTTCTGATTTGCAAATAAAAATAAAAATTCAGAATCAACTGCTGCAAAATGCTCATATTTTGCCCTGAACAGTTGAACACAGTCCTTTTCTTCCTAGTTGTTACAGTTATTCCATCTTTCAATGCAATGGTATCATTAAAAGTTCAAAATTCATTGTTTAAATTTTGAACCAGCCTGATGTGTTGACTTCATGGCTCCTAGCGTACCATTTTGGGCCATAATAGGATGCCTTATTATTAAGGCCTGTTTTTTTTAATATTTTTTTTTTCGCCCGCCCACTCCATTATTTTTCCAGAAAAATCCGTTAACCAAGAAATTAAATTGGTGTGGCCTAAGAGAACTATTTGAACCAAGGAAGTGTAAAAATCTCTTCCCTTGTTAGAAGTTACTGCAGACATCTCTAATTGGTATCTTTCAAGTTCAAAGATTGTAACTTACCCTTGCCAACCATATCTCCTTCAACTTCAAAGCAGCCAGTTCAAACTTTTGTTGTAAGTACACTGTACAGTACATCAGTGTCAGCATACATTACAGTAAGAAGGTTCTCCTTTTAACAAGTTTAACATTCATGTATTCTACTCATTTTCACCCTAGCATAACCGTTTAGACTCGAAATAGTTTGGCAGAGAAAAGTCACAGATATCTATGTCATCTACTGTACACAAAGTGCTCACAACTGCTCTTGGCAAAGACTAACTAGGAGTTCTCAGTAAACAACTCTGCTCTAGTACCATATCTGAAACTACATTCTGGGTTTCTGGCAGATTTTTAAACAAAGATATTACAGTATAACTATTGAACGACCACCTACACAGAGGCACATGCAAGACCTGTGGAATTTTCACTGATGCCGAAAACAGTCCGTTGTTGATTGTGTTTCTAGAATGTACCTTTTGTTAACTTTGATGGGCAAATAGGGCAGAAGTCTACATAGGAAACGGTTCTCTGATTCTCAAGGCTATACAGTTACGGCCTCACAGCCTTTAACACAGATCAAATAAACTCCTGGCTTACAATTCTACCGCTGGAGTTTTTTGTTTGTGTTCGTTGCGAGGATAAATGAGGTATCTGAGCTCGTTTTCAGCAAATGGCAACAAACTTTGACCGAATCAGTGAAAACAAACTGTCTTTCGGGATGAAGATGCTCCACCCTTTTTTGTTAGCTCAAATTTGCTGCTTAGCACGTGGTGCATTTTAACCCAAAGGGACCATTGCCTAGTTCCTGCTATTACTCTCTTATCCTCAATATATTATATCAAGGACATTACATCTATCACTTAAAGCAATTACAAATGTACCAGTAATCTCTAATTTCTGCTCTTTCTGTTCTTTCAAACAGGAAGATGACTAGGTTCAAGAGATCACAGCTTCTCATCTTCAAAGTATGGCACTCTGATTCCGTATTAAATGGCACGCAAATTTGCAGAACTGAAAACAACAAAACATCTGCACTAAGACTGTTAGCTAGAAGGAGATAATACTAGATGATTCAGGACTGTCACGCCAAGTCGGTGAGTGTATAACCAAGGCATGACCCTACAGTTTGGAATGCCAAACAATACCTTATAATACACAACCCCGTTCTAACGTACCCCATCTATCTTAGCCTCTACCAGGCTCCGCGGATCGCTGGAAAAATAGTAGAAATTGGCTGAAATAAAGGGATAGTATACCAGAGAAGATCCAGGGCCATAGAAGCTCCAATTTGCGACCCACGTGGCTACATCTATCTAACCATGGACAGATATAGATTTTTTACCAGAGGTCAACCACTTTAGCTCAGAAAAATTCCAACCATTCCACTCGACAATCCCTGTCCAGACAGAGTGCAGCCATCATAGGAGGATGCTGTCATCCTGAAGGTACTAAAGGCCTGTGTTTGCCCACTCCTTTTAATCTAATTACCGCCAATTATCAGCCTCTTGTCCCAACGTGTGCACCCACTTAGGATGAGATTGATGGGCCCTGGAGATGTGATAGGGGTTTTTGAGTGACAGGACAAGTGTCTCTCACTGTTGCCACCACTCCTGAACAAACCTCCCCGCAGACCCCATGCAGGGTCTCAGCATCTGTGAGATTCAGGCCCTGCCTTTTGTGACTTATGGACAGTCTCAAATCCTACATATTAATAGAAGGATTGGAGTAAATAGAACAGGGAGGGGACATATGCGTCATAGTTTGAAGATGACAGAAGAGAACCCTGCTGGTTGCATCTGCTGTTTGTGATTCTATGTTTTACCCATTTCGTACTAGACCTGCTGGGTAGGTATTGCACAGTAGTACAAGCACTTTGCTACTGTGCATATAAGGCTAACATCCAGACAGTCCTAATGTCTAGACCTACATGTATTGCTTCCTTTTTTTTTTTTTTTGAGACGATGTACTGTGAAAGAGATATTCCAATCTTACCTCCCAATATTTTCTGCTTGAATTCACATGATCTACCTACGGCACACTACATAATATACTTACCAGTATACTAGTAGTTTCCGACTAGTGTTTCCAACTATAAAAATACAAAACAGAACTTGAACTACATGATACACAGACCTGTCTGTGAGCTCATTCCATGGTAGAGAAAACGGTGCATGTTCTATATTTAAACTGGTTTAACCAAGCCTAAACGTCTGGTACTAGTAGGAGAATGCACTCCACTCACAACTCTGTTTTGATTTGGTCACCGAAATTTGGGCTAACTGTTCAGAGTCCTGAGTGGGTGTTGGAACTGTAATCCCAGGTACTTGTTGTTGTTGGGAGAAGATCTCTTGATCATGCGGTCTACAAGCCGCACTCTGTCTTTGATGAGAGAAGAGGAGGGACCATTTTTGTCTGTGTTTGTTGACTTGTCATCAGCCTATTGGACAGCTTTCAAAACATCCACTTTTCTGGGGGTTTGCTCTATCATATGTATGACCACCATTATGAAATCATTTCTGCCCAGCCCTACAGTGTAGGATTATTGGCAGCCATTACAATTGTGACCCGGTACATAAAAAACAAGGGGACAAAAGGATAACCGAGAAGGGAACATTAAACAACTGATTTTATGTGTGCTAAAGATGGAACTAGTGCGTTAGTAATATTTACATATATTCATTCCTGGCTAATTTACACAGTTTTAAACAGTCTTAAGGCCATGGTATACAAAATGTAACATAATGTCTACGAACCTGTAGCAAGTTATACCATAAAACATCATTCGCTTGTGCATGGCAAGAAAACATCAGAAATTGATTGCTAAATAATTATAGATTGACAAACCGTTGGTCGTTTTGCCGTAAACTGCAACATTAAAAAAAATGTCACATTAAACGTTTGATTACTGTCAAAGGAGGAGGTGAAATATGATATGACGTCCAATGATGTTGATATGAAACTTTATGAATCATTATTGCATTCCTGTCCAGATGGACTAAATGTGCATATATGGTGCAGAGCATGCAATTCATGAGTACAGAACAGTTCAACAATAATACTGTATTCTAATGCTAAATATTAAAATCCTATCTATTAAGACAGCACTGGGTACTATATTAGATGAAAAGTTTAAGGTGGTAGCGTGTCGTAATTTTACCTTAAATGTCCATTGAGTTGTAGAATAGTGGAGTTTCCCCCAAAACAAGGCAGTCAGAATAGTACGACCGTCCCATCTATTAAACATCAACCCAGGATGGTGCCAACAACTGGATGACATTTTCTGCTCAGTAGCGGACACATTAGTCCTAACCAACGGGGTTTCCCACCCCGTCAACACTCCGGAACAGCGTTTGAAGTAAACCCAGACCGTGCTTTCTTGCTCTTTTTCAGGTCGACAGAGATTTGAATCCAAGCCAGCATTTCATGCTCCAAGTAGATGTGTATGGCTTTAGTTTTATTTTTGTCTTCTTGCATAGAGAAGTATATTTTTGGACCAGAGAATTCGAAAGCAGCGCATAATTAGACAATGACAATGAACTTATTACATATTCACGCCCTACATGGGCAAAATGCACTACCTTAGATAACTGAGGTACAAGGGTGAGAGGAACTACTACATTACTATGTACTAGGTCTATATCTACCAAATCCCTTCTCTCTTTTTGAAACAAGCATGAACAAATTTACATAGTGTTTCATTTATATATCGTAGTTCGAATTCTTGAAGGACATAATATGTTTAAACAATTCTCTTACATTTTAGAGAATTGTTTTACAAATTAGAAATTGTTTTACATTTTACAAATTAGAAATATATACATGACTAACATGTACAAAACACCATAAGAAGGCGTAACACTATAGACAGCAATTTTCAATACGTAGTTCTTAGGGAAAAACAACATTGAAGGAATCTTAGTAGTACCAGTCGGCTGGACAAAAAGACGGCAAGTTAAAAGGCACTGGTACAATTTTAGCAGTTGCTATAAGTATAATCGTCTCTTTTCAACTCCCGACTGATGAGAAAACAACAAGAACCGGGTTCGGCACTACCAAATTACCAGCTATATCAAATTGCAAACTTGCGGCTTTTCCGAACAACCTACCAATTTTGAGTTGAAGATCGCACAACAAATAAACAATAGTTTGGTCCAGCTTTTGAGGATTTTTCATAACCATTCACAGAATAAATTGAAGTGAAAGTTAATCGCTCAGTTGTTTTGGGGGAGTCACGAAAAGTGGTAAAGTGTTTATTCTTTGGACAACGTAGGAGGAATTGAAAACCCCGGCCGGCTACCACCGCCAACATACCCCTGGGCTCAACTCCCACGTAGCGGTAATTTAGATAGGCGGGCGAAGGGCTCTTGGCCGTCGAAGGAAAACGGCTAGCGCCCCGATACTAGCCTGGCACCCAGGGTTAAAAACCGCGGATTTCTAGGGAATGTTTCTGGCTTCAAAAGACTGTAGGAGATGACATAACTGATGGAGGTAAGGCGATACGTCTGAACCTGTGGCTTCGGCCACCCGAGGAATTTGGCAAAGGACGCCGAAAGAATTAAGAAAGTTGATGATTTTACCTGCTGGAAGTAAAGAACTGTCTATTTGTGATTTTTGTATAGTATATGTAGTATGCAGTATCAAAACCAGAAACGTCAGAAAAAAAGGTGGACTTTTCATCGTTACGATTGTTATGTAGGAATCTA